ATAAATAAAAAAGCTTAGAACATTCCTCAAAGTATAGGAAAATTTTATTAACTTCCAATTGTTGTGATTATTGAATTTATGGAACTTGACCTCAGTTCTTGAATACTGAATTTGTACCTGAAAGTAAAGAATCTCCATTAAATTGCTTGATTATTGAAATCTACCTCTTGAATAAGGGAAATGAAGACAATTCCCAAATGAAGTCAATTCCCTTAAACATGGTAATTGCTTTCTAACTTTAAAGTATTACAACCAGTATGCCAATCTCCTAATCAACTTTAATGAATGTGAACATAGCAAATACTCGCCCATCTTTCAACCTTCTTCAATCTAGCTAATTTAAAATTAATCTCCATTAATTTAGCCAATGTGAATATTTATTTATTCAGCAAATTAAAGTTAAGAATAGACTTTTCTTTACTCTAGACATAAGTTTGTTGATGGGAATGCTGTCGTATCAAGGACAAAATTTCAAATTTCACTAAAGTATAGGGACCATTATCATAATTCTGGCCCATAATTATAAACTATAATTAATTAATTGTAATTTAATAATTATAGGGTATATATTCTTGGATATCAAAAGCATTCATTATTCCAAATTTCAAAAATCATTTGAATAATTTGATTCATTGGTAAAATGAAAAATTATTGAAATAATCAAGTAAAATTTAAATTTAAATAAATTTTAAAATAGTCACTATAAGAAAGTAAGGTATTGGTGACAAAATTTTCTCTTGCTAAAAGTCTATCAAAAAGTTGAAAGTCAATGATATCTTTTTGTCGATAATGATATATTTCGTTGCTAACAATAATGTTATTAGTGATGTAATTTCTATTGCCAAGTCTAATCTCCCATGAAAATATTATTGAAAAAAATAAATATATAATTCCGTCACTAATTCTAGTTTTATTAATTTTTCAAAAATAAAAAGGAAATTTCATCACTAATTATAATTTTATTATTTTTTTTAAAAAATAAAAAATAAATTCAATCACTAATTAGAATTATTGATGAAAATTTTGACAATAATATTGCTTTTAAGATATTTATTAAAAAAATTTAACAATTAAAAACATTTTGCAACCAATTATTAAATTATTTTCCGCTTTTATACAATAAAATTTCATCACTAAACATTAAGGTAAAATTCCAACCTTTTTGGAGGGTAACCTCTTTCAATCTTTAAGCCAAAAATAACATTTTGTTTGAAAATATTTACATCTAAAATATATTAAAAATATAATAAAAATTCATTACATTGATAAAAAAATTAAAGCAATCCTTTACACACTTTTTCATTTCATTGATAAATCACATTTCACATGTCATGCTAAAAAAAATTAATATCTCTTATAAATTTTATGATGTGTTAATACAATTTACAAAACTTAAGGAAGACAAGGTGCACCCAATTATTCCTAAACATTTTATTATGAGTTGTGTAATTACCCAGCTACAATTATGATAATGAATATGGAAAAACATGGTAAGCATAAGCCGTAACTAATCACTTGAAGTTGACAAATATATCAATAAAACACCATTAGGGGGAGCTCCTCATAGATAGTTGATAGAACTTGCTCACAAATGATACAATAATGAAAAATATACTACAAAACATATGTGTAGCCCCAGCAATTTCTAATTCCATGAAGGGAAAGCAAACATCTCATTAATGGACACAGAAGTGATAATCTATCAAGGTAATAAACTCCTTATTTACATAAATTTACAATTAATCACTCAATACTTTTTACTTTCTTTTTGTCATTTAAAATATGTGAAGAAATTCTAAAATTTACAGATTTCAAAATAGTTGAAAGTTAAAATTTTTTCAAATTATCACCAATGGCAAAATCGTCAAATATAAAAAAAGATTGAAACTTTAACTTGTTTGCCATTAAAAACATGTTCCTCTTGTATGAAACCCACATTTTAAAATTTTGAGTATTATTGTGCCACATGAGCATAGAAGATTCATGTACTGAAAAAGCCTAAAACAGAACAAGTTTTATAATTAACATATGTTGAAAACTCATCGAGGCATTTTAACAAACAATAGGCAAACATTAACTTATGTGCAAACAAAAACTATTTAGAGTGCTAGGGAAAACTCCCTGCAACACTTGAAGCTTTAGCCTAAATTTATATGCAGTGAAAGACTCAAATCCATAATAGAAAATGACAATCAAACTTAATTATGTTACTTTCAAAAGAGCTTAACCTTTGAGAGAGTTTAATATAGTAAAAAACTAGATCAAAGTTTTACTTATAGAACAAAAAGTAACTAATAACCTAGCTCATAAATACCACAAGCTGCAAAAAGAAAATAAGAAAGCATATTCAAACTAGAAATTTGCCATCAAACACAAAAAAAACTCTAGAATTTGCACTAAGGATGATAACAAATGTCAAATGCTTCCTATGTGGAGTTACACAGAAAATTTAAAAAGTTAGAATAAATACCTAAGGCCTATTGGAGTACATCTAAGGCCAATGAGTCACATATTTCCTAAAACATACAAGAAAAATACCAAAAATTAGTCAACGTATCAAATGAGAGAGATAGTAAACGTTAAGGAGAAACAAAACTTGAAAAACTAGTAATAAGTAACAACAATAAGACTAATAAGATAAAGTAAAAGATATGAACAACATAATCCAAGCAACCGATTAACGTCAAACGTAAACATATTCCAAGATATCATTATGTGTTAGCACCATGAATTCCAAAAGAGGAAAATTGTTTAGAAGGCTATAAAAAGAAAAAATGGCTATGAGAAATTTAATCAAAAAGTATAGTTAACATTTAGTGTTGTATTCAGGATAGGCTAGAATCATTATTAAGATTTCTCAATGTTTTTGATTATTAGGTATGCTAGATTCCACATTTGGTCGTTTTTTATTGTAGCATGGACCTGTTGTAACTTGAGTAAAACTAGATAATTGAGTCTTTTCTTGCTTTAATTAGTTTTTAACTATAGGCGCAAGCTAATTTACTTTTTAAACCAAGTCCAAGCTAGAAGTAGCCTGTATATAGCTTATGAAATCGTGGATATGATAGCTTATGTCCTTTAACCTTTATGTTTACTCTCTTTAGGTGTATTTGTTCCCTTAAGAATTTAGTTCAGTAGATTAGCCTCTTCAATACCAAGCACATATGGTCCTAAACCTCAAATCTTTCTCCATACCCTTTATGCATACAACACTATCCCTAAACCCTCAAATAATACCAAATTGATGTTGAGCTTAAAAGATCTTAAATTAATTATACTTCTTTGATGTTATTAGGCCTTTATAAATGGTCCAAGAATGGGTGATAGTCAAGTTTGGAAGCTTGCATTGTTGTGCCTAAAATCTTAGTGGGATTATGATCAATAAAAGGTAACAAATATCCTTATAGAATTAAATAATGAACTTGTTTATATTGGTAAATTTTGACAGCTATTTGGTTACAAAATCTCTTTTGAAAACAATTACAAATAACAAAACATACATTCAAGTTGGAAGGAAAAAACAAGAATCATATATAAATTAGATGCTAAAATCCAAAGGTGTAAACCACATAAGTCTACAATAATCAAATAACCTAAAACACCACTATCAAAACAAATCCACCAGCATAAGCTTGAGAAATGCCATTAACAAGCAAAAATAGAGTAGGGAACCTTTTGATAAAAAAAAATCACAATGACTTATATATAAGTTGACAAGATATACAAAAATAAACTAAATACAGAGAAGAATTAGCAGCAAAAAATTAAGCATTGAAAACATAAAAAAAGAGCAACACAAATGCAAAAAATAGCAGTAAAAAATGGAAACAAAAGTAAGATAGTGTTTTTTTTTTTAATTTTTATTTTGGAAAGAAGATAGGATTTGAGGCACAGCTTTTGATTTTTTGTTGGATTTGGCTTTCGGGCTTTTCAAATTAGAAAGGGTAGGGAAAGAAAAGAAAGAAAAAGAAGAAATTTTGGAAGTAGAAAAAGGACATTTTGAGACCTTTGATTCTAATTGTGTAAGGAGGAAGGAAAGAAAAAAAAAAGAAAGAGAGAATGGTGTTTTGATATGGGCATTAGATAAAAGATTTAGGGTTTCAAGTTTGAAGAAGGAGAGAGACTAGCACCGTTGGTGAGTGGAAAAAAAAGAAGTAAATGGGCTAGGGTTATTATCTTTAAATTGAGAGTTTTGGGGTTTAAGAATTAAAAAAAAAAAACTTGTTAGGATATTATTTTAATAAAAATAAATTATCATCGGATTTTAATGATGGAGTCTTTTCGTTGCTCTTTCCATTGCTAATGACTAATAAATCCCTACATTTTTTTGAAAAAGCTTTTTAATATGAACAAAAAAAATAATCCACAACAGAACAATTTGTTGAAATAAAATATATTTAGTGACGAAATTTTATCTTTAATATTAGCATTATTTTATACTTTTGGCATGATCATTTAGTGACGAGATAAATTTTCATTTGTAATTTTAGATTATACTAATGAAATTTCATCATTAATTCATCAATAAAAGTAGAATTTCAATTCGTGGAATTTTGCTCATCATCTATCAATATGCATCAATATTAATGATTTTTAATGATAATAATTTTCAATCACTAAAAAACTATTTTCTTGTAATTGTAGTTGTACATATTTAAATGATGAGAAAATGTTATCTTGTGGTAATTTGTAATATTTATATAAATAATTCATAATTAATATAATATTTTTTATTAAATGACGATAATTAATAATGATACATTGATAAAAGAATTTCTTATAAGCAATAAGTGGATTTTCTAATATTAATATTATTCATCTCACTTAATCACAAAATTTTTTAATTTTATAAAAAATGAGTTTCACGTCACCAAGTCCAACATTCGGATATTTAAACGAGAGAGAGAGAGAGAGAGAGAGAGAGAGAGAGAAACTAGATAAGAAATTCATAAAAAAAAAGAACAAAATTTTCATTAAAAAATTCAACAAATTACAAAAAATTACTCGGGAATGGCCATAAGCATGGGACGCCAAGCCCTCCTCAACAACATCCTATGCCTCAATCCGATCCAACCAGGCCTTGGCGAACCCGGTTCATCTCGACCATTAAATTTCGATGCTAAAACAATTTCACTCTTCCCGCCAAATTTCTCCTTAACAACTTTGCCATAATCATCATCTTCTTCTAACGACGGCGATGATACAAATAAATCCTTCAAAGTGCGACCACTCAAATCCTTGTCGCCCTTCTTTTTCTCAGGTAACTTGCCCGCGAAACTCTGTGGATATGACATTTCTCGACTGCAGGTTGATGACTTGCGGCTGGAGAGAAGCATTCGCAGAGTAGGTTGATGACTTGTAGCTTGGACTCCTTGTTGGACTTTGGGTGACGCCACATTGTGTCGCTAATAGCTTGAATTTCTGCAACGTCGCCATTTTTTATTTTTTCAGGTTCCCTCTCTGATCTGTCTCTCAACTTCTGTTGTTGTGTATCTGATGAGCAATTTAAGGGGTGTGGATGGGAGGATTTGGAATTTGAAACTTGACAAAATGATAATGCTGTGATTTTCGTTTTGTATTGGTTGCTTCAAAGCTAGAGAAAAGAATCTAAGTTGGAGTTTTCTCTGCATCTTTTTTTCTCTTTTGCGTTCTTTTGTACAGTTTCAAAAGTGAACTCTTTGAATAGAATTTTCTTTTTCTCTTGGAAGAGATAAAAGGGAAGACCTGAAGAGAGAGAAAGAGTGCATTTTCCAAGAAAATTCTAAAATCATACAACTGAGGAGAACTGGAAATGAAAAAAAAAATCATTTCTAAAAATCCTGTCTTTGTTCCTTTACTTTCCACAAAGAACAGAACCATATATCATATTCAAGAGTTTGTCTGTTTTTATTAGTATTAGACCCTAGAAGAAGCAAAGCAGAAACTTCCTTTCACTTTATTCAATACAATGGTGTGACCATGTGATGTCGGATTTTACAAAATGCCACAAATTTAGAGTTCAGCAGAGGTCAGAGTTTTTGAACATAGTTGAGAATCAATCTTCTATGAAATACATTTTGCTTTGCTCAACATGTTTGAAGCAGGTCCGTGCCATTGTTATAGTTGTCACCGGACTTTGTAATTAAAAATCTTCAAAACATGATTCTAATGCATTTTTGAGATCATTTATTTCTTCTACAGTTTTTATGAATGAAGAATTATTTGGTGCAGATAAAAGATGTGCAGAATATGAAAATTATATATGATAATGATTGCTTCATTTACCATGTACATTCCCACAAGTAAAAGCAAATGAGAACAACAATGAAAATTTTTACCCTCTATTTGCAGTTGGCAGTGAGACTTGAATTTAAGCAGGATGGTAAAGAAAAAACTTATCCACTGGCATTAGGTGTAGTACTCCGGCTAATCCATTTACCTGTCACAGAAACTGGTGAAGGTGGCAGTCGGAGATTCTTCAACATTGCAATCTGATCGCCGTTTGGTGGTGACAGAGGCGGCTGTACACTCCTTGGCACCTCACTATCAGTGTGTTCCTCCTCCTGCTCACTCTCCGACTTGTAATCTTCACTTTGTACTCTCCGTAGTTCCTCCAAAACCTCTTCCATTGAAGGGCGCATTTCTTTCTCTTGTTGCAAACATCGAAAAGCCAGCTCTGCAACTGAAGTTGTCATCCTTGTAACTTCTTCATCTGATCCATACCCAAGATTAGGGTCAATTAACTCATCAAATGCACACTTTTGAATCTTGCTTATTGCTAAATTAGCCAAATTAATCTCATCCCTATGCCTGGTGATATCAACTGCAGGCATTGATGATATGAGTTCAATAAGAACAACTCCAAAGCTATAGACATCACTCTTTTCGGTAAGCTGGTAACATTGGTGATACTCAGGGTCAACATAGCCAGGGGTCCCTTGAGGAGCAGTTGAGATATGGGTGACATCATTGGGGAATAGCCGTGAAAGCCCAAAATCTGCTACTTTGACTGAAAAATTATCATCCAGGAGAATGTTGTTAGTTTTAACATCGCGGTGTATGATATCAGAGGCATGGAGATAAGCTAAGGCAGTTGCAGTTTCTATTGCAATGCTTATACGAATTGGCCATGTGAGTGAACCAGACTGTGCAAGATCACCATGGAGATGATCAGCGACGGTACCATTAGGTATGAATTCATAAACAAGGAGAAGTTCCCGGCTACGGCGTGAAGTGCAACCATAGAGAGAGACCAGATTTTTGTGGCGCAAGCGGGTTAAGATTTCAACTTCGTTAATGAATTGTTGTAGCCGTCTATAGTTGTGTTGGTATAGTCGCTTGATTGCAACTTCTCGCCCATCTCGGAGTTTTCCTAGATCAAAACAAAGAGAGAATGTCCATTTATCAAACTTTTAGTTATTTACAATTATCTATACATACTGTTGCTTAGCAGCTAACTCATTTATATGGTAAAGTACATGCAGTTTATTGTCTTACCATAGTATACAGTCCCAAAACCTCCATCTCCAAGTTCTTTCTCATCATCAAAATTATTTGTCGCTTCCACAAGTTCACCATATGAGAAGATTGGGAGCCCAAAGCAGGCAGTACTGCTGCTTTCCAGGTCTGATTTTGAAGAGGGATCGGATGAAGTATTTCCTCTGAGAAAGTTTGATGACGTATATTTTTGTTTGTATCGACGCCGGAAGACATAGATGGACAAGATCAGTATTATAAGAGTAGGGCATCCAATTCCTACAGACAACATAATAATGAGTTTTGGACTGACAACCACGAAGTATCCATAAGATGTCAAAATAAATTCTTCTGATGTAATATAATTAATCAGCAATAAGAGTATATGCAGTAATTTCTTTTTTCTTCTTTTACTGGAAACAGAGAGATTACCAAGTCCCAGCTTCAATCCCAATTTCTTATTCCCTGCAATTGAAGTAACAAAGAAGTACAAAGTCAGTTTTTCCCCAGAAAAAAAAAAGGGGGGGCAGTTACAGTCTGTCTATGAAAAGTCAAAAACCGTTCATTTTCGTTGTTTAGACATTTCACTAGGAGAAACTAGTTTATGCTTCTCGTGAACATTTGTTGCATGATGTGCAATAAAGAAAAAACAAGAAAAAAAAAAAAAAAGCAGGATACTCATTATCCAAAAAGAAACCAGAAAGTAATTTTCGTATGCATATACCTTTGCTGCAGTGAAACCTTTGCTTGCTACCTAGACATCTAAAGCCTCTATGAAGACACTTCCAACCACGAAAGGATATCTGAACTTTTACAGATACATTGGGCGTTAATAGTTCAAACAACTGATCGTTATGTTGAGAATTTTTCTTCACGGGATTCTTGTCAGGTGGAAGATTGGCAAAAGGGAGCTGAATAATTGGACAATTACAAAGGCTTGACAATCTATCATTTCCGCCACTACCTGGTGGATTTGACATTCCCTCAGGTTGAGTATAGTATATAGTGTAATTCTTGCCAATTATGTAGCTGAATTCTTTTGAAAAACTAGTATTCAAAGCGCCATTACATTTACACAAGGTTATGTTGGGACTGATTTCGAAAGTGACCATTGGAAGAACGGGAAAACTCAAATTCCTCAAGGATTGAAAATCCTTGTTCTCTAACTGCTTTGCGATCACTTCGTCGTAAATGGTAATGGTGTCAGCTTGGGAGATTGTATTAACTGGATACAATCGTCCTCTCTGTTCTAGCTGGACCTTCTGATTGTCACCCTTACAACCATCAACTACAAACAACCCACACTCAGGGCGACCCGTTTCAGTATAAGGGAATTTAATGTCACCAAGTTTTCCACATGGGAAGGCCGCTGGACAATCGTGGCAGCGGTGGTTTCTGTCTTCTTCAACTGAGTGAAGTAGCAAGAATCGCGAGAGAACAACAACCAATATCAAGAAGGGTATAGTAGCCATTAAATCAAGAACAGACGCAGAGCTAAATTCTCTCACTGGAGGCCAAATAACCAAACCAACCAATATACCGGATCATATAACAGTATTCGTTAAAAACATCAGTTGACTAGGGCACAGGAATGTGGTGATAAAAGACTTGATTCACTTAAATTACACAATGCGTTGTGCTTTGGGATGCCTTTTTTAATGGGATTGGTCCGCGTGTAAAAATGTTTCAATTTCCTCCACTTCTTTTAATACCAACTACTCAAATAAAACGATATTTCTTATGTCAAGAATTATTTGCAGCTTGTTTGAAACGTCCAGGAAAGTAAATTAAAGATGATAACTGAAAGATTTGAAAGTCTTTCGCTATTTTGGTGCGTAGCATTTGTGATTTGAACCTGAAGAAGACGATAATATATATAGTGACAGCGACAAGATTACACGTTATGTCTGTAAGACAGATTCATTTTGGATGATTGACGGCTAATGTGTTAGGAAGTGCGGGTCCAGCCCCATCGGTTTTGGTCAACTAAAAGGCCCAAAGTCTTCGGTCTTATATTAACAAAAAGAGCTCTGCATATTAAAAGAAAAAGAGCTGTTTTAAGGTGTGAAAGGAGGCGCCGAATAAAAAGGAAAAAAAAAAAAAGAAGAGTTTGATGAATGAAAGTTGATTCGTAGTTTAATTAAGTTAAAATTTTATTAATAAGTTTATGATTCAGAGTTTTACATTTTAAATAATGAAAATCGAGTTTGAAACTTTCTAAGAATAAATTCAAGGTATATTTATTGAGTTATTTATTTGGTGAGATTTCCCTAATTATTTCTTTAGTAGTTGATTAACTTTAGTTTTTTAGAGAAGAGCTTTATATATTTATTATTTAATAGTGAAAAGTTTTTTAATGGTTACATGATTTTTTTCCTCTACACTGGAAGATTTTTTACGTAAATCTTGGTGTGATTTTTTTGTGTTTTGAATTATTGATTGTTATCTATTACTATTGATTTATTACAATATATTGCTTCTGCGTTATTGTGTTTGTTACTTCAGGCTCAACAAGTGATATCAGAGCGAAGGTTATTTTGAGACATTGACATAAAAGCAATCAAAGATAGAAGTAAATTCTGTTTGAGATTATAAAAAGATGATACGAGTCTCATGATAAAATTGATAGTATCAAATTATTCAATTTGAAAGTATATGATGGATGATCATTTATATTATAAAGATTTATATGAGCTGATATTGGGTGATGCAGCTAAATTGGTAGATATGAAAGATGAAAGTTGAAAGAAGTTAGGTAGAAAGATGCTAGCTACATTAGAAAATAGGTTGAAATCAACGTATTCCATCATGTAACAAAGGAGATAAATGCCCACACTATTTGAAAAAAATTGATAGCATTGTATGAGAGAAAAACATGTATGAATAAAATGATGATTGTTAAAAATAGGTTGATATCAACGTATTTCATCCTGTAACACAGGAGATAAATGCCCACACTATTTGAAAAAAATTGATAGCATTGTATGAGAGGAAAACATGTATAAATAAAATGATGATTGTTAAAAAACTTGAAACTTTACAATACATGGATGGAAGATCGGTTACAAAGTACTTGAATGATTTACAAGATATATTTAATCGGATGACTACTATGGAGCTTAAAACGGATGATGAAATGAGGCATTGTTTCTTTTGAGTTTATTGCTAGACAGCTGAAATATTCTAGTTGTGACTGTTTTTAATTTAGCTATTGATTACAAGGAGAAAATATAGACGATAAAAGACAAAACGCTTAATGAAGAAGTAAGGCGAAAAGATTTAGACCCTAAGAATCAAGCTCTGGTCACAGAGAATAGGAGTAAAAATATCAATAGAGGTCAAAACTCAAAAGGTCGTAGTAAGTTTAAACATAGATCTAAATCCAAAGATAAAAGTGAGGTGCTTTCATTGTAGTAAAGCAGGTCCTATAAAGCGATATTGTAAAATCTTAAAGCAAGAGCAAAAGGATGAAAAAGGTAAGAGTTTAGATGATAGCAATATTGTAGCACTGAATTCAAATAGTGATTCAATTACTTGGATTTGTACACATGGTGTTGTAAACATGTTGGTGATCCTAACATTAAGTGGATAGTTGACACATGAACGGTATATCATTATATTTTTAAGATGGAGTTATTTACAACTTATAAAGCAGGAGACTTTGGTTATACCAAAATGAAAAACAAGAGTGTATCACAGATTGTTGGGATTGATGATATTCTTGTACAAACTAGTATGGGTTGTATGTTGACTTGGAGGGATATTAGACACATTCTAGATATGAAAATAAACTTGCTTGCTATTAATATCCTTGATAAGAAAGAATATAAGAGTCGACAAAAAAATGGGTAATGGAAGCTTTTCAAAGGATCTATGGTAGTTATAAGGGAAAAACTATGTCGCACAATATACAAAACATGGATGCAATTGAATAGCAACTAGATAAGTACCGTTAAGGATGATGTTTTAGCAAACTTATGGCACAAGAGGCTGACACACATGAGTGAGAAGAGGTTACAAGTTTTGGCAAGGCAGTCTCTTATTATCTTAACCAAAAGTATGTCTTTCAATTCACGTGATCATTATTTGTTTGGCAAGCATTGTAGAGTTTCTTTTTGTAAGAGTTTTCAGAAAATAAAAAATAAATTTGAATTGATTCACTCTGACGTATGTGGTCCCATTAAGGTTGGGTTATTAGATGGTAGCGGATATTTTGTTACTTTTATTGATGTTACTTTTATTGATGATACTTCACATAAAATTTAGGTGTATATGTTGAAAAACAAAGGTCAGATATTACATTATTTTTAGAAATTTCATGCTATGGTGAAAAGGATAACAGGGTTGCCCTTGAAGTGTATTTGGATTGATAATGGTAAAGAATACACATCCAAAGACTTTGAAGAATATTATTCAAAACATGGGATCAAGCATAAGATGATAGAACCTGAAACACCACAACATAATGATGTAGTTAAAAGAATGAACCGCACCATTGTGAAAAAAGTCATATGTATGTTAAGGATGGCAAAATTACCAACATAGCTTGTTATTTACTTAACAAATCACCAGCAATTTTTTTAAGCTTTGACATTCTAGAAAGAGTGTGGACAAAAAAAGATGCTTTATACTCTTACTTAAAAGTTTTTGAATGTAAAGCATTCATACATATGTCGAAAGAATAGAGGTCAAAGCTTAATACTAAAGCCATACAATTTATTTTTGTAGGATATGGTGATGAGAAATTTGGTTACAAAGTATGAGATTCAGTGAAAGGAAAGATAGTTATAAGCAAAGATATAGTTTTTCATGAAAAAGAAACCATAACAGACTTTAAAAAAAATGAAAAGACTATAGGGATTATTATTAAGTGTGATGTTTCAACACCAACAAAGGTTCCACAAGAAAAAGGCACAGATGGTGAAAATGAGCAAAAAATAAAACTTAGGGTATGAATGAGCCAACCATAGTTAGTGATGAGTCAAATGCAATCAATTTTAAGTAGGATGAGCAATCCTTTCTACCTGTGAATGTTTAGCAACATGAGCAGTCCCATCCACCAAAGAGTGTTATGCATAAAGAGTTACCTTCAGCATCAGGTGGTCTAGAGTCTCAACCTAAAAGATCTACCAAAGAGTACATGCTATCTGTCAAGTATCCAAGTTTAAATTTTATTTTAGTTACTAGTGAGAGAGAGCCAAAGAGCTTTCAAGATATGCAGATTACTTCGGATAGAAAGCATTGGTTAAAAGCAATGAACTAAGAGATGAAGTCATTGTAAAAAAATGATATATATGATTTTGTTAAACTTTCGAAAGGAAGGAAGCCGTTAAAAAATAAATGAGTGTTCAAGCTAAAAAATGAAGGTGACAAACTATTAAGGTACAAAGTTCAATTAGTGGTGAAAGTTTTTTCTTAGAAACTTGACGTCGATTGTGATAAGATCTTTTGTCCGGTTGTGAAGA